GTTTTCCCAGAGTGGCTCTTACGCCATACTCCAGTTCCAAGTTTTCCCAGAGTGGCTCTTACGCCATACTCCAGTTCCAAGTTTTCCCAGAGTGGCTCTTACGCCATACTCCAGTTCCAAGTTTTCCCAGAGTGGCTCTTACGCCATACTCCAGTTCCAAGTTTTCCCAGAGTGGCTCTTACGCCATACTCCAGTTCCAAGTTTTCCCAGAGTGGCTCTTACGCCATACTCCAGTTCCAAGTTTTCCTGTCATGATTGAAGGCGCACAGTGGGGTTATAGGTAATGGTGCTTATTTTTACTTACTTGTATGTTCAACATGCAGATGTGGCTTTTTTAAAAAAAACGTCATTTTAAGGTCGACAACTCTCGTATGGATTCGTACAAGGACAAGGAATTGTTATAAAAACACTGGACTTGAGGTGAACTGTATCTCTATGTATCTAGTAATCCAATTGTTCTCGCTCTGATTCAGTGTCTAATTATTGCGACTCGGTTAGTCGGTCCAAGTACAATACATTTCTGTATATTATAATAAAACTCGTTTATAATCATACGTTTGTTCTACTGGTGTTTGCCCGCCATTCTTTGTAATGTCTTTTAACTTAACGTTTGATACGGACAAGGTTAGCCCCTCTTCTCCCTCCCCCCTCTACTTGTACAATATTTAGTTTTTGTTGTTGTATTAACAACTTATTCTTGGGGTTAGCGTGCTAGACTGTGTATCGAAAGGTCGAAGCTTTGACCCTGATGCTGCTGAACATGCTTCTTATCGAAAGGTTGAAGCTTTGACCCTAATGCCGCTGAACATGATCGTATCGAAAGGTCCAAGTTTTTAACCCCTGATGCTGCTGAACATGCCTCGTATCGAAAGGTCCAAGTTTTTAACCCCTGATGCTGCTGAACATGCCTCGTATCGAAAGGTCCAAGTTTTTAACCCCTGATGCCGCTGAACATGCCTCGTATCGAAAGGTCCAAGTTTTTTACCTCTGATGCCGCTGAACATGACTCGTATCGAAAGGTCCAAGTTTTTAACCCCTGATGCCGCTGAACATGACTCGTATCGAAAGGTCAAAGTTTTTAACCCCTGATGCCGCTAAACATGCTTCACACTTACGGTGGTAGGCTTGTTATAGTCAATACCGATGTTAGGTTCACAGAGCCGGACAAAGCCGGTTTGTGCAATTGATTGGCTGCATTGACTTATCAAAACTAGATTACTATATCTGAACCCTGTGGGGTATGGGGGGGAGGTCTGACCCGGCCGTTTAGTCAGTATATTGTGCGAAATGTGTTTTCAAGTTACATATTAATTCATCTTACAGATTTACAACATTTAAAAGCAAATCGGTGGTCCACACTTTTCTTTCTCTCCAACTTTGGTGTTTTATTTTCTCACTTTTACGTTTGGTAGAACTCTGGATTTTGGAGTTGCCAAACCGGGTTCGAATCCGTGCAATATGACAAAGTATTTCCTAAACTTTAAGCCGTGGGTGCGTTATAACAGTAATGGTCATTGCTTTAGCCTGGGTGATGGGGTACTGCTGACTTGTTACTTCTGGTCACTAATAGGGACAGATAGCCTTAACATAAACGGGAGTGGACTCTTCTATCCTTGACAGACAAAGATGGTTTATTTGGACTTGTCTTTACACCTTCTGTGTTCTGAACGGTCGTATTCCAAACTCGTTAGGTACTCATTAATGTGACCTGGATTTCTTCAGTAGAAACTGCAGTTGTTTGACCAGTTCATAACTAAACAATATGTTAATCGTTGATGGGTCAAGTGGATGCATCTTGATTACCTCAGCTTCTTCAGAAGGAATAAATAAATGTTTCCTTATGGCACCATAAAGATAGATATTACTGCTCGTTACCAGTGTACCCACGTAGCTCTAACTTTCTGACAGTTAACTTCAATTATTTACCACCACCCCTCTCCTTTTTTTTCATCTGCTATAATATTAAAAGATACGACTCTTGTTTCGATATTTTGTGAACTGAAAACTAACGTAACTCTCCTAGCGGCTAGTTTATTATACTACCGACAGATTAAACTGAAACATTTTCAGCCCTTGTTTGTTTGTTTGTTCTTATTTTTTTATTACTTTGTAAGAAAACAAAGTAGCTTCAGGCATCACGACAGATGGTGTCGACATCTATATCTTACTTAGCTTGGCGATAACGTGAATTATCTGCATTGTAAATCAACTAAACATTGGTAGATGCAACATCTCTTGAGAGAGAATCTTCTGGAAATCGGTTTATTTAAAAACCTAGTCATTGCATGGCTTGTTCTCGTTTTTGGTCTTCACGCATTGTTGCGGAATATTTATCTAAATTCTACAATTGAGTTCATAAACTTGCCAGTTACAGTTAACACTAATCGGACCTTAGATGATAAATGTGTGTTGATTTAGAGCAATAAGTTCTTGTTATACACTAAGCCTACCGCAACGGACTGATTCCAAAAACTATGCTAATTCGAAAAGCCTAAAACCCTTGTGTATTACGCATGCCGTAGATTGCTTGGTTACGGGTCAAACAACTCTACTTAAGACTAGTTTTTATGAAAGCTATCTCGTGACGACGTTTAGTTTCCTGGAAGTCAGGAGGTTATTGTGAAATCTTTTGTTTTAAGGACTTGCACTAGAAGACTCCGATTGTAACATAATGATGATAAAATGGTGAAAAAAAAATGCTTGCATGTTTGTTAAACTAGCAAACAGTCGGTGCCAGTGTAGAAATAGTTACATTAATATCGTTTGTGTGTCTATACAGACGTGTGGACGTTACAATGTGACGAACAATCCCACTTATTTGTTGGTATGAGTAGTCCAAGTGTTGGCGGTACGTGCTGCCTGCCGGCCTCTTGTCTTCCCTCTGGTCTAGTTCAAAATTAGGGGCAGCTACATATAGTGTTAATAACTTTGTCAATAAACAAACGTGAGCAGAATATGCGTAAGCTATAAGAAATCCCGAAGAACTCGTGTTCCTTTGACGCAGTTTGAAGAACCTAGTTTTAGAAATCCAAACGAAGGATTTCTTACGTTCTTGATCCGGAGGCTGTATGTCTAAAAGTGAAAACAATTTTATAATTTATTGGTAGTTCAGTTCTGCACACTAAGTTACGTGTATTAATATATAATACATCTTGTTAGTTTATTAAATATTAAGATTCGTGTCGCTGTTTTATGTAATTATTAAATATGGTTAAAGTTCAGGTAGTTAGCTTATTTCATTCAGTTCACGTTATCTGATGTAATTACAAGATTTGTCATGCGTGACTTGTGGTGTCAATACCCTCGCTCTCCGTGAAGATACCGAACGTGGTCGAAACGTTGTACATTTGTTACTATGTCAAACGTAGTAAAAAAAAAAGGTTTTCTTCTCTTCCCATTCAAGCCGTCCTAAATAACAATCTCTGCTTCATGTTTTTTCGAAGTTTGAAATATAGACAACTTCACACGAAGTCAAACTTTTTGTTGAAAGATTACTGAAGCCTTAGGAAATTTATTATCAGTGATGACTAATTATGTTTATTCTGATGCTACTTTCTTTATATGTTGTGTTATTTGATTATAAGGCATAAATTTTTATAAACTACGTTTTTATATTTTATAACTACGTATTTTTTTACAAACTAAACTATATTAGTAGGCCTAGGTTTTATACTATAATGAGCGTCAAATTAAGTATAGCGGACGACGTTCCGAACGTCTTCCACTTAAACAATCTATCAAAGAACATTGTTGCACTTGGACTCTTTTAGTCAGGTTCATTTATAAACTATAGGGAGGAAAGCTTTCTGAAAAAGGGGCGCTGATCATTATTAATATATTTCAATATTTTAAAAATCGTATTTTAAAATATCATGATTAGATATATATAAATCAATCAAGTTCAGCCAGTTTCACTAAGTTAATGACGTTGTTTGTATGATCACACGGTTAACATAATTATGTTACGACAGTGGGGGTCACGTGACTCTAGTAACACGTCATATTCTCTAAGGTTCGTTAATGCTCGAGCGTTTACTAGATTTCGGTATTCTTGTACATATAAGACGGTCAAGACGTGACAGCAACAATGTGTAATTGACAGTTGAGTCGAGCACGTGAGACGTTCGTTGTGTATTATAGCGTTTGTTATAGCGCGACTGTGGAAATTAAGTGTATTGCAAAGTTGTATTCAGAAAGAATAAACCAGTTTTATTTAAGAAAGGACTTGTATCGCTAAAATTTCTTCGGAAAGAATTTTTACGGAAAATTAACTAACGACACAGAGACGTAACAATTAGAAAAACCTTTTCTGCTTGAGACCACGCTCCCAGAGTTTCACTGTTTTAGGATCACGTGATGGTGCTTGATCCGAGTAATTTATGGTAATTTAATAATAATATTATTATTATTATATATTAGTAGTAATATTAAATCAGAAAACATCAGCTTCTCTATCTCTCGGTTAACTTCTCGTTTTTGATCACGTGATTGTACTTAATCGAGTGAAAGCTTCGGTTTGAGACGTACTTAATTTTACTTAATACCGTTTTTCCACCTTTAGCTTAACGGTGATGATAATTTAACTGAACGTTGCGAGGGGGGGGGGGCGTTTCATCCACTTTGTGACCATTTTGGTATTACTACTGTTTCAATCCCTCTTTGGTAACTATCTTATGGTCATTAGTACCATGACAACATTTTTGGTCATTCTTCAGTTACTTTTCTATGGTCCATCGTTAAAGATAAAAACATCTTGGAAGTTAAGCCTCGAACAACATATTTGGATAAAAAAAAAATCTGACATTCGTCCATTTTTGTTGCTATTCTCGCTCGTTGTCGTATCTATAATAGGTCGAGTTAACGAAAGGCATTGTTTGTTTTTTAGAGAGCCAATTGGTCAGAAAAGCACCACCATCCTACGCCGACGGAGTCTACATGCTAGCTGGACAGGACAGACCCAGCCCCAGGGCGGTCAGTCAGGCTTTGCTGAGGGGTGAGGATGGAAATCCTTCCTATCGTAATCTCACCGCACTGTTTACATTTTTCGGTAAGTCCACTATCTTTAACTCGTTACTGATAGTGTTACAACACAAATTGATGACAAGAATACCCATGTTAATTAAAAGTCAACATTTAATCTCGGCTCTTTATACCTTAAGATTCCCGTTTTTAAAACTGTTTCCGGTTTATATTTAACTTGTTTCCAGAAACATCGGTCACTCATATTTCTCATTACCTTAACGTTGTAAGTTTCACTTGTACAGTTACTTAAGCGTGTAGCCCCAAGTTCCATGATTTTCTCATGGTTTGATATACAAAGATGAAATGAAAAACAAACGTACTGTTGCGTCAGCGAGGTCACGTGACTAGTGTCACGCCACGTTTCTAGAAATATCCTGTTCTTTCGTGAATGCCCTAGCATTTACTAGATTGGGGTATATATATAAGATGGTCACAACGTGACGGGAACAGTGTAGTGAGTAATTGAACTGCAGTCAAAGAGTATTGTTGAAGTTGAGCACGTTCGTTGTTATAGCGCGACTGTTGAAAATAAGTGTATCGGTAAAGTTATATTCAGAAAGAATA